CTGAATATGCTTCTGGGCTGATGGCTCCCCTCACTGTGTCCCTCCTGGAGAACCCCGACGATGAGGGCCCTCCTCCCTTGAACCAGCCAGCCCAGGATGGGGCTACACACAGTCTCGCGGGCACAGAGGGGCCATCTGTGGGCCATACAGTGCCATCTGGTGATCAAGAGGTAGGCCTGCCAGTGTCTTTGACAAGTGGGCACCTGTGGCTCTCATCATCTCCCCCTGACAATAAGCCTGGTGCTGATCTGCCAGCCCTGTCCCCATCACCCATCCGACAGGACCCACCTGACAAGCTGCCCAACAGGGTGGCTGGCCTGGGAGAGGGCAACCAGAGCAGAGAGACTGCACTTTTTTCCCTGAAGCACATGGCTAGTGAACAGTATGATGCCAGTGCTAAGGAGACAGAACTGAACGGTTCCCAGGGTTTCTCAGGAGAGCCCTTCCCCACCATACATGCAGGAAGACCCCATTGTGAGCCTGCACCCACCCCACAAACAGGAAGCAGTGATGTGGCTGACCAGCCCTGGGTTCAGGAGAGAAAGCATCTGGCAGGGCTCGGTTGGCAGGAGCTGGATTTGTCCATAGAATCCATCAAGTTGCCCTGTTACAATGAGGACATTGCTTGGCTCAAACATAGGCCAATCCAAAGGTGCTTAGCAAGGCCAGGCTCTCCCCTGGTTCCCAGCTGCTCTCCCAAGACTGCCGGGACACTGCATCAGCCCACCCTGGGGCACGCACAGTAAGTTGGACTCTCTCCATGAGACTTGAACTCCTTTGGCACCCCTCTCCCACCCCAGTTTAATGTTTTACCTATTTTGGGAATGGCTATGGTTAGCTGTGTCAGCTATACTGCAACTAGAGAAAGGCTTTGTTCAGCTTTTCAAGGAAATCGGTCTAGATCAGTGGTTCTCAACCTTCCTAATGCCGCGACCCTTTAATACAGTTCATGTTGTGGTGACCCCCAACCATAAAATTATTTTCGTTGCTACTTCATAACTAATTTTGCTATTATGAATCGTAATGTAAATATCTGATATGCAGGATGTATTTTCATTGTTACAAATTGAACATAATTAATGCATTGTTACAAATTGAACATAATTAATCACAAAAACAATAGGTAATTATATATGTGTTTTCTGATGGTCTTAGGCAACCCCTGTGAAAGGGTCGTTCGACCCCCAAAGGGTCGCGACCCACAGGTTGAGAACCGCTGGTCTAGATGCATCTGATATGAATAAAACGTTGGGGCAGGCCTACCAGGATAGGCCTCTGCCTGGGAAAACTGAGATGTGAGAAGGGAGGATCTGTCCCCATAAGCAGGCCTATGACCTCTGGTGAGGTCAGAATCCTCTTCATTCTGTTGGGTCTGTGTTCCCAGAAGTGTTGCCCAGCAACCCATTAGCTGTGGTGTTGTGTCCTCAAAGCTAAGGTTGGGTACCTCCCAAGACAGGGAAGATAAAAATGAGGGTGGGGCTGTGTGTGGATGGTGCAGCAGAGATGAGACAGCAGCCTTAGAGGATGTGAAAGAAAGGACGTGGAGGATCTAGCAGACCCCCTCACAGTATCAGAAGCCTCAGAGCTGGAGGGCAGGATGAACAAATACTTCCTTTATGAGGCTACAGCCCTTTGTTGGGGCTCCTGTTACCTAGGCTAGCTGTCTGTCTGCTACTCACTGATGCTCAGGCCAGGGCTGTGGCCAGAGGAATCAGGTGAGGGGGGCCTGCCTCTCCTGGGTAGATCATCTTGTTGTCTCTGTGGTCTCTGCCCATCGGTAGGGTCTGACAAAAGGCAGATCTTCTGGCTTCTAGGTCAAATACCCTCGCTTTGGTCCTGGACCTCTCAGAAGTAGAAATGACAGCAGGCTCTACCTTGTGCCAAGTGTGCCAGCTGGAGTGGCACTGCCTTGACCCTTTCTGCAGAGAAGCTGTGGGCAGCTCCTCTCTAGAAGCAGCACCCTTAGTGTACCTGGAGAGGTAGGGGACAGTTCCAGAAGCCCCAGACTCTCCCAGTATCTCACTGGTATTTCCTAGTTTCTTGACAAGTCCTGAGAACAGGTGGGGGCAGGGGGAGGTTGGGTGAGTTGGTCCTGGTCAGAGCCTTGACCACTTTGGGCAGAGCCAGCTCCTGGCTTGGAAATGGGGCTCAGCTCCTAAAAGCTACCCAGGAGAGATGGGAGGCCCAGAGGTTCACAGCATCCCCTCTGGTGTTCCCAGGCAGGTGGTCATCCGAGCACACCAGGAACAGCTGGATGAAATGGCCGAGTTGGGCTTCAAAGAGGAGACACTGATGAGCCAGCTGGCTCCTAACGTAAGTGGCCTTGGCTGGACACTCAGGGGCTGTTGGCAATTAGTCTGTAGTAGTATGATGGTCAGCTTTGTTTGCTGTGGTTAGGTGTGGGGTAAGGGTCTGCGCCACACGCTAACCATTGTTGAGGCTTTGGGCCTCCTCTTGCCACTCCTCTGGGATAGCTTCAGGGAGTACAAGGACAGGTGGGGGATGGTGCTACACTCCCCATTCCCAGGCTAAAATGCTTCTCGCCTCTATCCCTCACCGTTCTGCCTTCCCAGCAGCTTATTTGGGGCCCTCCTTGTGACAGTAACAGTGAGCCACATGCAGACTAGAAGTACTTCTACAAAAACACCCCCTACCCTGAAAAATACGTCTATATAAAGTGTCCCAAATGCAGAGAAGTGGGACCCACCCTGTGCCATAGTAACTGCTGCAGGTTTTACAGCTGGAGGGCCTGGGCACTGAAGTTTTCCTGCAAGAGAAAAGCAGGTCTGGGAGAGGGCCAGCAACAGCACCATTTGTCCTTTGTTTCCTATCTCAGGATTTTGAAGATTTTGTCACCCAGTTGGATGAAATCATGGTTCTGAAGTCCAAGTGCATCCAGAGTCTGAGGAACCAGCTGCAGCTATACCTGGCCTGCCATAGGCTGTCTGAGGCCCCTGAGAGGACAGTGGTGTCTTAGAGCAAATCCAGTATGGGGTGGTGGGGGCAGCTCAAGAGCCTGTGCTAGGTTCTCAGGGGTTGGAGGAGCTTCTGCCAGATCATCCCTGCAGATATCAGAACCCACTCCCTGGACCTGTCCATGCTAGCCTCTCCATAGCCACACGCGGCCTTGGCTGGGCCCCAGCTCCTCTCTCAGGGACAAGCCTCTATCCTTCAGTTCCAAGTGCAGGAGCATCTTAATGTGCCCCTCACTTTTCTTCGAGGCTGGAAGAGAATTTGTCTTACTAACCCCTTGTCTGTAGAAACACACAGAATAACCCTGTAGATGTTTCTGAATTTGAAACTAAGAGTATGGGTAGTCAGTGGAAACCTACAGGCCAGAGGTTACAAGCTGGGGAAGATGACATGCTGAGCCCAGGAGCTTTATCAGGTGAATTCTGTGCCTGTTGTTGAGCCAAAAACTAAAACATTGATGCTAGTGGGGCAGGGGCAGGGTGAGCTCTGCCCCATTATTTGGGGCTTTAGGTTGGCTTTTGAAATGTAAAATGAATAAACTTTGACTTGCTATGTCTTTAACAGCAGAAAATGTGAGACACACTTTATGCTTTCAGTTCTTCTCCCTTCCTGCAATCCAGTTCTTTGTCCATCTCTGCCTTTTGCTGGGATGATCAGCCTTTTACAAGCCCCCAAAGCCCTCATAATCCTGTTGGCATTTCCAGGCTCCAATCTGAGACTCCTCACCCATCACACCCACTCATGGAACAGTTGAAGAGCTAGTGGTTCTCAGGCAAGTCCATCTCCTAGCTCACCTTCATCCAGAAAACCCTGGTCTACTCCCCCTTCTCAAAATAGCCTGTGTTCGGTATCTTGGCAATGAGTATTTTAGTCAACAGTCTGAGATTCTGAAGCAGAATTTTTACACACAATCTTCACTTGAGTTCTGCTTGCTGTCTATCATTTTAGCAGGAAGAAGCTTAAGACAAGAAATGCAAAGTGGCCTCCAGGTGGCCATCATTTACCAAGGCCACCATGGGTCAAATCAAGATTCGTGTGTCACAGCCATGGCCCTGACAACCATTATGCTATGAAAGTTTTAATTGCCTACAGGTAAAGAATAAATTTTAATGGCTTTAAAAGGGGGGCTTAATTTTAAAGGCCAAAAGTAGAGGGGCTAGCTGGCTTTCTGAGACTACAGCCCTGCTATTCTTTGTCAACTTTTGTCAACCTCTGGCCATGCCTGATCTGACCACTAGAGGGCAGCCTCTTTCCACTTTGGTGCTTCCTGGCCCAAAGGCTCTGCAGTCCTTCAAGTGATCACTAAAAGAATAAACCCACCTCCACCCAAGAGCACAACAGGGACTACAGGACAGTATTAAGTATAAGGACAAGAAACTTTAGGGATAAATCTAGTTCTATCAGCTACAACAGCACCACTGAGAGAGCTGGTGAAGCAGTTTGCATCCAGTCCTACCTGTGGCACAGAGTACATAAACGTCTGGGATCACAGGAAGAGGGACTTCTTCCTCATTTCTGGGTAATTACCCCAAAGGCCTAGCCTGTCTCACCTCAACAGCCAGTCTCACAGGAAGGCATATGTCCTTGGTCCAGAGACCAAGCTAGGTCAGGTTTAAACAGGTCTTCCTCTTGGCCTGCCTTTGTGAACCAAAACCAGGGCAAACTGGAGGGCCAGCTCCTGGGTCTCCCAGGCCTAGAGTAGGAAGAAAGTATTGAAGTGACAAAGTGGTTAGGTCCTGATTCATCCCCAGCAAGCAAATCTAAGCAGGAAATCACTCACTCACACACAAGTAAAATGGCCCTTGGCAATAAATTGATAGCAGGACATACCTTTTAGATTTTTATTAGTTTTCTCTGAAGAATCAAAATAGTTATTAGCAAATTACTTTAGATTAATCAAGACTGTATATCCTCCGTATTTAGATATTTAATGATGTACAGCATAATACAAAACAAACCAAAGAGACTGATTTCTATGACTAGCTGTTACTCATTGTGTCATCCTAGAGGAAATTGATAGCGGGACATACCTTTTAGATTTTTATTAGTTTTCTCTGAAGAATCAAAATAGTTATTAGCAAATTACTTTAGATTAATCAAGACTGTATATCCTCCGTATTTAGATATTTAATGATGTACAGCATAATACAAAACAAACCAAAGAGACTGATTTCTATGACTAGCTGTTACTCATTGTGTCATCCTAGAGCAGGGGACTGGTGGGAGAGGCTGTTCTCCAAAGAGAACTGAGGTGGAGTTAGTGCTGGGCAACTAAATCATGACCTGTTTCTCCCCAACTCAGTGTGCTGGGAAGGGGCCAATGATTTCTTAATGTGACAACTGTTTCCTAGAGCAGGGGGCTCTAAAATCCTGGTAGCAGAGGATTGTGGTCCAAACCAAGCCGAAAGAAACAGGCTGGGTCAGGGAAGCATGGTAACTGCCTGGCAGAAGAGGCAAACTCAGGGCCCCATGGGGAAAGGGCATTCTTTGCACCTCAGTGACATTGCAGAACCAGTGTAACACTAAGAGACTTTGTTAAAAGGGGGGGAAAATAAAACCCTGGAAGAACCTTTCAATTGCACTCAACCTGTATTACAGTTCAGTCCACCAGTGCAGGGGGGGAGGGAAGCAACTAGCCCCAGAGCAGCACTGAGTCTGGCCCTCCCGCCTCTTCTCCCTGGCTCCTTTTGGCAGCCAGCCCAGGTTTCAGCTGAGGACATACAGACCCCAGAAAAACCAGAGACATCTCTCTGGAGGGCCAAGGTGGGAAGGACACTTCTCAAAATACAAATACATTTAATATGGAAGGAGCCAGGACAGTTCTAAGGGCATTCACATGCCAAATCTTCCCCACTTTCTCCCCAGCTCAGGGCCTAGGCTCATAGAGACTGGCAAACAGTCTCCACACCTGACCTTCCACCCCCAAAAGAAAATCTGGACGCGCGCCCCTTCTCCTTCCCCACAGGTGGGCTCCTCAGGGCCTCCTGCAGGGGTGGTTCCGTGGCAGGGTTTAGGCAGGGCCTGGTCTCAGCTGGCTCCAGCCCGAGCCATGAGGTCTTCCAAAGCATTGTCCTGGTCATTGTTGTGTAATAGCAGAACTTCCTTAATGTCTTTCAGTTCAAAACCCATTTCCTTAAATTTGCTCATTAACTGAAGAAACTCCAGCATCTAAGGGACAGAAGAGAGTACAGATTAAAGGGGTCTGGCCACACAGCTGAGTGGAGAAATAGATGTATAGGGGGCTGCTTGAGGGAGTCTGTATCCTTCGCCAGAGCCACCTGAGCCTCTCCAAGGTCCCCTTGCACAGGGGTTGCCAACCTTTCGGACCTCACCGACCATCAGTGGCCTGCGGCCCACCAGTTGGCGACTGCTGCCCTAGCAGAGTAGGGCTGTGGAGGAAGCTGGGACCGACAGCTTGATGCCACAGCGCCAACTCTTACTAACCTTTGTTCCAGTCCCACCACCCACATTCCACTTCCACCAAGGCAATTTACTGAACCCAGAAGCAGGCTAGGCAAAGTGGCTAACAATCTTCCCAGTCATCCCAAAGTGCGCTTTATAAGTCCAGATCATTTTTCCCTTCCCTTCTCCGGGATTCCAGGTATTGTCTTCAACCCAACATTTCATCTGAGCCAAACACACCCAAAGTAGCTGGACATTTCGGAAATTCTGCGCTTCAACTGTCTCTGCTTGCAGTCACTGGTAGGGAAAGGGTATTGTGGGTCAGGGGGGGAACCCCAGGAGATTACACTGTGTCTTCTTTCCAGAGGGCATGAAGGTTCCTACCTTTTCCTCTGAACACTGATGCATTTCCAGAGCCTCTTCCACTAAAAGAGGGTCGAAGCCCTTCTCACAGAGCTGTCCATGTACAAAGAGATAGTCGAGAATCTAAGAAAAGAAATAAGAGGTCTAAGCACCTACTGCCACTCCTATCTGTTTCCCAAGAGTCTTACACAAGCCAGCAAGTGTGACATCTCCCCAACCTGGCTATTAGATCCTGGAGAGGACTTGATTTTGTGCCTTGAACTGTATCCATCACAACAGGACCTCAGTGACTATCAGCTGAACAGACAGGCACACCCTTCTAAACATGAGTAGCCATTTTTCAAACGAGTTCCTGTCATAGCTGACTCATATCTCCTAGAACATTAACTCCACAGCCTGGGCAGGGTATTCCTCTAAGAAATAGCTCAAGTCATCATATGTGGAATCTAAGTAACAAAATAAACTGATGAACGAGTGGAACCAGAGACATGGAAGTATGGAACAGTGTGTGGAATCTCAGGGAGAAGGTGGGGGTACAGAGTGAGGAATCAAGGGAGGATGGGTGGGTAGGTGGGAGGTAATCAACCAAGGACCTTGTATCCATATATGCATGGCCCATGAACACAGACAATGGGGCGGTGAGGGCCTGGGGCGGACTGGAGGGGGGTCAATGGGGGAAAAAGAGGGGACATATGTAATAGTTTCAATAATAAAGAATTATTTTTAAAAAGAAATAGCTCAAGTCAGAAAATGCATCTAATGTTTAAGACTCTGGTACCCTATTCTGGAACTCCCTGGGTAGCTATGACAGGATAAAAATTTCTGGGAGAAATCTGACCATATCTCAACCCTAGGATGTGCTCTCAGGAGGGGCAGAAGTGGGGGAGTAGTTGGAAACAGTCCAACAGCTCCAATACTCCCAAGGCTTTCCTTCAGCCTAGTTTCCAGAGCAGCCCCAAAGCAGAAACACTGCTGCTGAGGCTGCTGGTTTCCCCCAAGAAAGTGCCTGAGTCCCCCAAACTCACAGGAACAGACATTGGTGCTGTAAGTCTGGGGGGCTCCAGGATAGAGGCAGGATACTACTTCAGCTCCAGAGGACTGGGACTTCTCTCTGGCTGATCATGCACCTCCCCTCCCCACCAACCAAATGCTCACCTGCTCAATATTCTCTCCTTTTTTCTTCATGGCTCTCAGGACACACTCATAGGAGTAGCCCATGTTGACCACTGTCTCCACACACTGCCGCTCACTGGGGGACAGCGTCTGCAGTTCAGAATAAGCCTGGGGACAGCTGGGAGTGTTGGGCACTTGTGACATTGAGAATTTAGGAGGTGTGGCCTAGTGGTGGAGAAACAAGAGGATCAAGGCAAGAAGATGTGGACCCCAAAAGACATGTTACTGAAATGGCCCAGTCTAGGGGTTTGCCATTTTTGACATTAATCAAAGCCCCAGTCGAAGCAGTCTACCTGGGAGAAAGGGCCAGGTTGCGGGCCAGACATTCTGAAGAGGAATGAAGAGCAGTAGGGGAGCTCCAGGTAAGGAGAGAAAAGCTGGGAAGACATCTCTGCAAGTGTGGCTGTCCTCTACCTCAGCCCACCTTGCAGATGAGAAAGCACCACAAGAGCCACATGCCCTTCCATGCCCAAATCCTCCAGGCTTGAGTTGAAGTTCTGAGACTGCCCACAGGACTGAAGCCCAAGCTGGCTGCTATGGTTTCTTTCCAGAGCTCCATTATCCCTTTCTTAGGCTGTGAAGGGATCATTCACCTCAAACACCCCAAAGTCTGGAGCTGCCTCTTCCAACAAGGTCTCTATCCTCATTTCTATCACTGGGCTGCCCACACATGGCCAGCTCAGGGACCGAGAGCTTTGAGGGTGCTCCACCTTTGCCCCACACTGTGCTTCGATTCCCTGCTACAGCTGCTGTCCTACAGAGCTAGAATATTAGCCACACCAGGCTGTGCCTCAAGGACTGGAATGTGGAATGCACTGGCTATAGGCAGCCTGCTCCCTGCCACCCAATCTTACTAACTCCAGTCTTGATTGTTGGACAGAATCCCATAATTAACTCCTCCCATCTCTTCGGATAATGACTCAGGCCCAAGGCATGAAGGCCAAAGGACCAAACTACCATGGGAACAAGGTCACTAGCTGTTCTGCAGTTTGGCCCAGCTCCCAAGAACCAGGAAAAATGTTTCAACAAATTTTTATTTTTTATGTGGGCATGGGGTTAGGAGACAGGGAGTCTGCTGTCCTACAAGCAAGTTCAAAATTATAGAGCTAAAACCAGATGCTCTCCTCAAAGTCAGCTGGGAAAAGCCAAGACTACAGGCCTCAAAATCCATTGTTTCCACTCAACCATTTAACCCACAGTCACAGGGCTCAGTCATTAGGTTACAGGAGTCAATACACAGATCATGGGGACTGGATCACACCAATCTGGCCACTTTGCAGGCCCCAAGATATTGTCTCCAGGGTCAGACTCTGCCTGGGCACAAGAATACCAACAGCCAAATAGCATTTTGGTCACACTGGTGGCACAGTACTTTTCACATCAAAGTATATTAATGTGAACTCCTAGAGGTTAGTTACCAGGCATTTCTGAATCCTGGGGGCCTGGCTATATGGGCTAGACACAGGGCTCTGATCATCAGTTGAAAAATGGAGGTCTATTAGCATTTCAAAGGGGGAATTTCATTTAACACAGCAAACTGACACTGATCCTCCCCAAAGCCTACTAAAATAATAAAAACTATTAACTTTTAAGGTCAAAGAAACAGAGGGAACAGCAGGGGGAAATCTGAAGCTAAGAGGCAAGGTAACAGAAGCAATGAAATTACAAATGAGAGATAGGAGAGGGGTTCAGTATTTGGAAGCAAGAGGTACTGCTGGGATAAAGCAAGAGCACAAAATGAGTGCTCAGAGCAGTAAAAACCTCAGGCAATAAATACCTTTCCCCACCCATCTTCACCCTCCACAGGAGGCAGAAGGTTTAGTCTCTAGTCTAGAAAATGAGAACCAAACAACAAAAAGGAGGTTTAGACACCAGGCATAGCATACAACTGAGAGAGGGACAAGAACCAAAACAGGGATTAAGTAAAAGTCTATAGCAGCCTTACCCAAGCTTCCTTAGCCCTCAAGCACAATTCTCTGGAGAAATTATAGCAGCCACAAAGACCTTCACATTTTGCAGAGCTCCCCTCAAAGCCAATTAACTTTCAACCTATAGTGAAGTTTAACAATCAGCAAGCACAGTGGGAAGAGATACTGGCTAGAGTTAAGTCAGGCAGTTTTATACTGGACTCAGAATAAAGGCACATTATAAGATTGTTCTCTCAAGATGATCCCATGGATTTCTCAACTATTAAGATTAGCTTATGTAAACACTAAAACATGAAGTCAAAATCTGAAAACTAAGACCCAAACATTGGGCCTAAAATAGCCAACAAGAACCAAATTCCAGGAATACTTCCCTGGGAGTTCCTAAGTGAAGTGTGTGTACAGCCCAGATGACCACACCATCACCTCCCACTGGCCTCAAGTCACTGACTATCTTGGAGGAAAGAGCTTCTCTCACAGAGAAAGGTTCTCACTGGGTTTCAAAGACTCATACTAAGAGAGAGGGCCAGGATGGAAACCAGGCTTTGCTCCCTGAGGGTAAGGGTCATGACTTCCTTAGAGAGCGGTTCTGTTTCTATGGGCCCTTGAAGGCAGCAAGTTCCCAGGCCAGCAAGAAACAGAGCCTCTCCCACCCTAAAATGAATGGATCCAAAAGAAACTTCACAATCAGGTGGTTCCCACACTATGAATGGATCCAAAAGAAACTTCACAATCAGGTGGTTCAAAGAATGAGTGTTCTGGTTTGAGAAAGAGCTGTCATTAGTTCATCTAAATGGTTACTATAACTTTAAGGGGAGTCAGGGTGGGGAGGTAGCTGAGGAACCCTAATCCTTCCCAGAGTGCATTTAATTTCTAAAATATACAGTATATTACCCTAGCCAGTCTGGCTCAATGGATAGAGTGTCCGCCTGCAGACTGAAAGGTCCCAGGTTCAATTCCGGTCAAGGGCACATGCCCAGGTTACAGGATCAATCTCCAGTAGGGGGTGTACAGAAGGCAGCTGATCAATGATTCTCTCATCATTGATGTTTCTAATCTCTCTCTCCCTCTCTTAAATCAATAGAAAAAATTTTCTTAAAATTTTTTTTAAAGAAATACTGCCCTGGGGAGCCAACAGAGTGCCCCCTAAAGTCTCTGAGGAACTGATTTCTAGAAGGTAGCACCAGAGTATTTTGTGTTTTTGTTTTTTTTTCTTTTTGTGTGAATCCTCACCGGAGGATATTTTTCCATTGATTTTTAGAGACAGTGAAAGGGAGTGGGGGAGAGACAGAGAGAGAGAAACATCAAAATGAGAGAGATACTGGTTGCCTCTGCAACTAAGGTTATGTGCCCTTGATCAGAATCGAACCCAGGACCCTTCAGTCCAAGGGCTAACTACTGAGCCAAACCAGCTAGGGCCCATGGAAATTTACAAGCAGCAGTGAGCTCTCTGACAATAGAAGCACTGAAACAGACAATAATTTACCAAGAATGCTATTGCTGGGACCTTACTCTCACTGTGCAGGCCAAGGTTCATCCTTTTACCAACTAATAGCAGGCTTCTTAAGGTGTCTGAGAGATATCCCAACAATACAATCAGGCTCCTTTCTGGCTTTAAATACTGTCTTTGATAGGCTGTCATTTTAAGAATCTGTGAACTGGCCCTAACCGGTTTGGCTCAGTGGATAGAGCATCGCCCTGCGGACTGAAGGGTCCCAGGTTCAATTCTGGTCAAGGGCATGTACCTTGGTTGCGGGCACATCCCCAGTAGGGGGTGTGCAGGAGGCAGCTGATCAATGTTTCTCTCTCATTGATGTTTCTAACTCTCTGTCCCTCTCCCTTCCTCTCTGTAAAAAAATCAATAAAATATGTATTTAAAAAAAAAAAAAAGAATCTGTGGACTGGTCAAAGAAACAGGGAACAGCAGGGGAAAATCTGACTTCCATGGTTTCTATCCTAGAATGCAACAGTGTATACACTCTGTGACAAAGCAGGCTCACCTCACATGCAACTTTTTGTGTGTGTGACAAAACCAGATGATCTTTTAGAAAATCTGGTTTTGTCACACACACAAAAAGTTGCATGTGAGGTGAGCCTGTATTTGGAGGTGACGATTCTTCTGTGCACACAGACAAGACAGAGAGGGAAGGCGTCTGGGATATCATATCAGAAGGGGCCAGGGCTGGCACAAGACGCAAATCTCTTTTCAACCCTTACTTAAACATCAAATCTAAATCCCCAGCTACCCCTCTCCCTCCCTTTGGAGAAAACTGCAAAATTCTTAGCAGAGAGAGAAAAAAAGGAATTGCACCATTAAAACCAATGTGTTTAAAGTGACAAATTTCTATGTTTTTCTTGGACTTCCAATACAAATTATCTCCCAGGTACTAAAGCACCACCCAGTCTGAAGAAACCCACAAATTGGCTGAACCATGGTACACACAGGAACCAAATTTCAAGGCAGAATGAGGTAGGGAGAAAATATAATGAAGAGTACCAAGCAATCTTAACAAAAAAAACAAAGAAGGCAATAGGAAACAGTTAAAGGGTACAAAAAAAGAAAGCCTTTTAAACAATGCAAACACAAGATATGCACCACAGAAAAGAAATTGATTAGGCAGGAAAACACCAAAATATGCAGGCAGGAACAAGCCAACATCAACTTGAGTAGGTGGAGAGCTAATAATCCTTGTCCTCAGGAAAATAACCAGAACTACATATACTTATAGTATAAGCAAGGTCAATCTGGCCATGCCCATCTTGCCCTAAACCTTAAAAAGAATGTGAGGATGGCAACTGCTAAGCAGAATTTACAAATCTTTGGAGCTTTAACTTAGGGGGATTTAAAAGGCTTACCGTGGAACCTGTATTTGGAGGTGACGATTCTTCTGTGCACACAGACAAGACAGAGAGGGAAGGCGTCTGGGATATCATATCAGAAGGGGTCAGGGCTGGCACTTCTGTGCCACTGTCCAAGTTCAAAGTTGAAATCCCAAGACTCTGATGCCCACTGAGCTCACTGGCACTGCTTTGGGTGGAAGGCTTTAGGGAATTCTGGAACGTGCCATTGCGGAGGCAGGATGTGCTATGGAAAGTGCTTGCCAGCTTGGCTGTTTTCTGATTACTGTCATCAGAGTCAAGTTTGGGGAAGGACAGGGATTTGATATTGCTTACTGCAGGAATGGGGGGGAGGGACACTTTGGAAGACAGCGACATCTTTTCACAGTTGCCCAACTGTGGTAAGGTTATAAAGCCATTGGGTTTATGAAGAGGCTTGAAATCTAGTGTTGCCCGCTCCAAAGATGCCAGGACTTCTTCATCCTGTAACACAGATCCAGAGCCACCTCTGGGCAAGTTACTATCCAATAACTGAGCCATAATGGGTCCAGTGGTTCCTACCAGAATGTTTCTCAGTTCTTCCTTCTCATCAATAGTTTTTAACTCAAGATTATCAAATGGATCTTCTTCACACTCAAAGTCAGCAGGATTGAAATCTGCCTTTGTGTGGGGTGGGCTGAGAACTTTCTGTTTCATGGTACTGCTGTACCGAGTCGGGGTGAGGATGCTGTTGTGCTGTAAGGTGGCAAGGATGGGGTTAATAGGAGGTGGCATTGTGGCTGTACTGTGAGTCTTGGAGAAGCTCATTTTGTTATCTCCCTCTGGGCCACTCTTAGAATTCACTTTAGCTTCTGCTTCCTCAACCTTACCCTCTGCTTCCCGCTGGGTCTTGGATTTTCTTAATATCTTCAGCCCACTCAATGGTTTTCTTTTCCAAGGAGAAGTCATACTGCAAAGATATATCAGAGAAAGAAGATGTGAACCCAAGTGGCTGCCCCTCCCCAACGCAGCATTTCAGCTGTATTGGATGATCTACACTCAAGAAGACTAAGGCTTCCTAATCTTATAGGATTTAATCAAAGTATGCTCCCAGATTACTTCTAGAAATTAACTAAAAAGAGCTCCCACCACCTCGAGTCCTATGCACCAGGCCAAATGTTACAGTCACATTCCCTTGCTTCTCTCCCCTCAGGCCATGTCCCTTCCTAGATTTCTTCATTGGTGGCTCAAAGCTCAGCCTATTCCTCCCTCTGAAATCTTACAAAGATCTGTCTCTATCATTTGATGCAGAGCACATGTGACCACAATAGCTTTAATCTTTCTCTAAACCCGAAGTGGGGAACCTTTTTTCTGCCCAGGGCCATTTGTATATTTGTAACATCATTCTCGGACCATATAAAATTATCAACTTAAAAATTAGCCTGCTATATTTGGTCAAACATTTAATTAATGTCTTGGCAAGGCCAGATCAACCAAGTGATTTCACAGGCCTTTATGGCCTGCGGGCCAGATGATCTCACCCTTGCTCCAAACACTTCCCCGACAATATCACATGCCTCTTATGGGCAGCAAACTGGGCTTTAGGTCTTAAGGTCTCTATTATCTAGCACAAATGCCCTAATAGATCATGTGCTGGATAGTAACAGTCCCTAACATTTAAGAAGCACTTACAAGGTACATGCATGATTTGAAGCAGAGTTTATGTAATAACCCTAGATTTTTCAACAACCCTTTAAAGTAGGTACCACTGCCCAAGGTAATAAAGCTATTAAGTGGTAGAGCCTGGATTTGAACCCAGGCAATCTAACTAAATATGCTTCTTAAAACCACGATCAACTTATAACAAACAGATTGTACTCTAAGTGCAGGAAAACTGCTTATTAAGAAATCTAGACATATTGAAATTAAGATTTTACAGAGCAAATTGCATAAGAATTTACTTAATGGATCCTTAACAATACCTTAAAGTATACAGCTCAATTTACAAAAATTTCATTTGCACACCTGAAAAAATACACTCTTATATGAAATCCACCCAGGGATAGGAGGAAAAACCTTTGATGTTCACCCTAAAGCACCAAAGCTAATCAATGTCTTGTGTGCACGTTCAAGGTTGGAGACACATTAAGAGTAAAAGAAGGGGAAAGGAGAGAAAAGAGTAGAAGAAACCTCTGGTCATTCCCAAGCCTTTCAGCTTCAAACTACACAGGAGAAGCCTGGAAATGCGCATATCAAGTTCACTTACACCCCTGAGCCAGCTGCTGGGCATCAGAAAGACACCTGAGGATTGCAGTGCTTCCTTTCTATCACTAACAGTATAGTAAGAAAACAGCACTTGGGCAAAGACTGCTGCTTGTAACTGTGGAGGAAATCCAATTTTGCAAGTGGTTTCCTCCACCAAAAACTGAGGCTGTAACCAACTTCCTGATGCCTGTAAACACACGTGTCCGATGTTTTATTCCCAAAAATAATTGGAAATTTCTTTCCCTTTTAATAAAAATCTTTACCAAGCGTTTGGTTTTTAACTACTAAAGTAATGTAGAATACATGGAACATAGAAAAATACAGGAAAAAATAGCAGAAATATTACAGTAAAAAATAAGAGTGTGGTTTGAGTGTACTATAATAAACAGTAAAACAATTATGGAATATTAGAAACCAGAATAAGCATTATAAGTGCATTATTTTGTTTAATCCTTACAATAACTTTAAAAGGTAATTATTCCCATTTTACAGGTGAGGAAATGGAGGCTTGGGAGTTTAAGCAATCTATACAAGATGATTCATGGCAATTCCAGTCCATGATTGAGTGACACCAGAATCCACTCTAAACCTTTACACTAAGGGCCACCCCCACTGCCGTGGCTACCACTACCACCACATTCAATGAAAGCTTTCTGGACCCTGGATGCAAGGGTTATGTATGTTTTTTTCACTGGCTCCCCTTGATGAATTTTCAGCTGAAAAATGGAGTTTGTACTACCACGTAAGGGCAAATAAGGCAAAGTTATAGGAAGCTTCAAGTTAGCTGTCTATGGTTCTAGGTCTGATTCTTCTCTGTATTGGGAGGGATCCAGCACCAATACCACAGCCAAATTCCCCATGGAGACCCCAGGCAGTCAAAATTTAATGCTAATCTGCAATTAGAGAACAAAAAAATTTCAGCTGGCCCACACTGGAATAGAGCTCAGAGCCTAGCTCAGAGCCTAGATTTCCCTTTTTGTTACTACTGGGTGCTATGAGTATAGTGAACACTGATCAAATAAACAGAAAATTCACAGCATTCAAAACAAGTTTTCTGAATGGGTCAACGAAGTGATGAATAATATGAGAATAAAAGATGGAGGTGTACAGCCTAAGTGCCCATCAGCAGATGAGTAGATTAAAACGCTGTGGTACATCTACACAATGGAATACTACACTGCTGTAAAAAAGAAGGAACTCTTACCATTTGCAACAGCACGGATGGACCTGGAGAGTATTATGCTAAGCAAAATAAGCCATTCAGAGAAAGATAAGTATCACATGATCTCACTCCTTTGTGGACTATAATGAATAACATAAACTAATGAACAAAAATAGATCCAGAGACAGAGAAGCATTGAACAGACCATCCAACCTCAGAAGGAAGGCGAGAGTGGGTTAAGAGATCAACCAAAGGACTTATATAAGCATATAAGCATAACCCATGGACACAGACAGTAGGGGGGTGAGGGCATGTGCTAGGGGGTGGGAACGGCTGGGGAGAGATCAATGGAGGAAAAAGGAGACATATGTAATACTTTAAACAATAAAGAATTATAAAAAAAAGATGGAGGTGTTTCTTAATCATATTGCTAATAGTATCCTACACAGAGAGGTGTTTACCAAATATTTGTTGTTGCAAACAAAACAAGGTAAAACATTATAAGGGAAATCTATATCTTTTCTGGTCCAATAGTCTCCATACACAAAAGGAATATCAATCAATTCAGTATTCAAAAATATATGATACTCAACATCATTAGTAATTAGGGAAATGTACATCAAAACCACAATAAGAGACTATTACAGAAGAGTGTATAAAGACAGAATATAACAAGAGCTGGCAAGGATATGGAGGAATTAAAACCCTCATGCAGTGTGAGTGTGATAAAATAATGCAACCACTTTGGAAAACAGTCTGGCAATTCCTCAAAAGGTTATAGTTACCATATGGCCCAGCAATTCCACTCCTAGGTATTTACCCAAGAAAACTGAAAGCCTATGTCCACACAAAAACCTGTATACAAATGTTCATAGCAGCATTATTCCTAACAGTCAAAAAGTGGAACCTACTAAAATATGTATCAACTGATGAACAAAATATGGTATTATCGATACAATGGATTTTTATTCAGCCATAAAAATAAATAAAGTACTAATATTTCATTCATACAACTTGGACAAACCTTGAAAACATTATGCTAGGTGAAATAAGCCAGTTATAAAAGGCTATATGTTTTATTATTCCATTTATATGATATGTCCAGAATAAGCAAATTTATAGAGACAGAAAGTAAATTTAGTGTTTGCTAGGGGCTGGGGACAAGGGAAAATAGGGAGTAACTGTTAATGGGCACTGGAGTTTTTTGGGGGTGATGAAAATGTCCTGAAATTAGATCATAATGATGATTATACAACTCTGAATATACTAAAAACCACTTATTTGCACACCTTAAAGGGTGATTTTTATGGTATGTGAATTATATCTTAGTAAAGCTGTTATTTTTGAAAACATAACTGAAATATTCCCACTATGATTACTCACTGCATATAGACTGAAAGATACAACAAAGAATCCTTTTTAGAATGACATGTTAATGCCTCATTAAATCTCCCATAAACAAAACAACTTTGAAAAAAAAGTATATTTAAAAAAATCTTAAGTCACAGGAAGAAGTTTGAATTAGTGTACTGTTTTTCCACCTGACTCCTTCTCTAAACTGTAAGCTCTTTGAGGACAGCGATTAAGGCTTTTCTCTCTATCCTCAGCCTAGCAGAGCACCACTCAAAAGCAAGCATTCAATAAATGTGTACTGAAGGAAGAAAGGAAGTCATATAACATAGGGCTCTTTGCTGTTTTCAAGAATTCTATATATACATTTATATGTAACTGAGCTTTAAAGATGAGAGGGTTCAGAAAGAAGCTTTTGAGAAGATGGCATTTCAGCACAATTCTAGAAGAGCAACAGCTTTTAGTACAGTGAGAAAGAGAAAAATACCCCAAATGGAGATAACAGCTCATGAGAAAAAGCATGTTATATACCCAGTATGTTCAACAAATTGCTAGTAACCTAGTTTGGAGGGAACATGGATAGACTAGACAGCAATGGGGAGACACAACAGAGAGAAAAATGTTACCTAACTCAAGTGACAGAGAGATAATGAGGATATTAATAAAGAAAAGGAAAAGAAGTAAATAAGTAAGATAGGCAATGGGGATTCATTTTGGACAAGGCATAGAATTCCAGGATATACAATCTAACACATTACAAAAGATCTGTAATAGATATATAGGTGTGTGTGTGTGTGTGTGTGTGTGTGTGTGTGTGTGTGTGTGTGACACAATGTAAGCCAAGCAAGAAAAAGCTATAAGAAAAACAAATAAGAGATATGAGAATGGGTGTTTTTTTTTTCTATTTCACTATACATCCAATTCTTACTCATTAAATTTTTAAATGCACTGAACTTTAACTAAATATCACCACTTACCTGTACTTCTCTGACAACCTGCAAACAATCAGGCAAGGAGAAGCCAATAGGTAGACCAACTTTAGCTGGTGTTTTGAATTTGTCTCCTATCTTAAATGGGACATCATCAAGGTAACTGAAAGTCCCTACAATCAAAAATAAAGTAGAAAATATCAGCAAAAATCTTATTTGTTTTGCTATAAACTTATGTCTAGGATACAACATTAATATATGCTATCCTAAGACTAGAAGTTCCTTCTCTGACTGCTTACCTTCTCTCCTGACCTCTAAAGAAAAATCCTACTTGATCTTATTAGGGTTTATTTTCAATTATACATAGAGTAAAAGCCAAAGTACTCAGAGGACTAAAAGGTCTCCTCAATGCTCATAACCTCTCTCGCTTCAATTCCTAGTAGTTGCCTCCTAGCTCACACTGCACTAAGTCACAGTCATAACTGGTTCAAATGCAAGTCAAAAATTCTGCACTGGCTGCTCTCTCTATCTGGGATGTTCTTCCCTCAGATATTCATGTGACTTATTTCATTACCCCCTTAAAGTATTTACTCAAATATTACTATCTCAATGAGGTTTACCCTGACCACCCTATTTAAAATTACTACCCCAGCCCTAACTGGTTTGGCTCAGTGGATAGAGCGTCGACCTGCGGACTCAAGGGTCCCAGGTTCGATTCTGGTCAAGGGCATGTACCTTGGTTGTGGGCACAACCGTGGTGGGGAGTGCGCAGGAGACAGCTGATCGATGTCTCTCTCTCATTGATGTTTCTAACTCTCTATCCCTCTCCCTTCCTCTCTGTAAAAAAATCAATAAAATATATTTTAAAAAATAAAATTACTACCCCACCCTTACTGCAATACTCCCATGTTACCATCTATCTTTTCCCCATAGCACTTACTCCCTTCTAACATATTATATAATTCACTTTATAATTATACTTATTGTCTATCTTGCCCAATGGAACGTAAGCTCCTTGTAGGCAAGTATTTAAGATAATTTTACTCACACTAATGTAGTCTCAAAACCTACAACATTGCCTGGCACATATTGGGCATTTAGTAAATACTGTTGAATTGATGACAGAATCTCCACAAAAGAACCTCTTTGATTAGGATTTCTCTACTTCAGCAGGAATCACTTTTCAATCACTATAAAGAATTACTCGGTTTTTTGTTTTCAAGACTACATTCTGGATAGATGTGTAAATATTTTAAGCACAGCACTTATGAAAAAAGGAAAGCCCTGAGCAATGTTGCTCAGTGGTTAGAGTGTCTACCCACATATCTACAGGTTACTGGTTCGATTCCTGGTCAAGGGCACATATCTGGGTTGTAGGTTAGATGCCCGACCCCAGTTGGGGCACAGGGGGAAAGCAACCAATCGATATATCCCTCTCACTGAGATGTTTCTCCCTTTCTCTCCCTTTCTCTCTCTCTCCCCCTCCCCCTTCCACTCTCTAAAAATCAATGGAAAAAATAACCCCAGGTGATGATTAACCAAAAAAAAAGAAAAAAAAAAGGAAAACCATCTGAATCAGATTAGGGTTATCAAGAGACATAACTAAATGGCTTTAACTCCCTAAAGGTTGTCTGCCAACCCAGCCAGTGTGGCTCAGTGGTTGAGCATCAACCTATGAACCAGGAGGTCACAGTTTAATCCCCAGTCAGGACTCATCCCCAGGTTGCTGGCTCAGGGTGCAGGCATGATCCCCAGTAGGGGGCTTGGAGGAGGCAGCCAATCAATTATTCTTTCTCATCATTGATGTTTCTCTCTCTCCCTCTCCCTTCCTCTCTGAAATAAGCAAAAAATATCCTATAATATAAAAGGGTAATATGCAAATCAACCAAAGGGCGGAACCAGTCACTATGACGCACACTGACCACCAGGAGGCAGACAGACGCTCAACGCAGGAGCTGCCCCCTGGTGGTCAGTACACTCCCACAGGGGGAGTGCCGCTCAGCCAAAAGCCGGGCTCACAGCTGGCGAGCACAGTGGCGGTGGCGGGAGCCTCTCCCACCTCCAAGACAGAACTAAGGATGTCAGTCAGACATCCCCCAAGGGCTCCCGGACTTCGAGAGGGTGCAGGCCGGGCTGAGGGATCCCCACCCCCGTCCTCCGAGTGCACAAATTTCGTGCACTGGGCCTCTAGTATTTAAATAAATAAATAAAGGTTGTCTGTCTATCACAGCTGAATAATACAGAAAGACCAGGACACCATCACAGATTTATAGAGTCAGACAAAATGAGAGTGCCTCTTATATGACTCTCATTACCTATACCAGAGGTGGGAAATGTCTGGCCCACAGGCTGTACAAGGCCCACGAAATCATTTGGTCTGGCCCTGCCAAGGCATTAGGGGTGAGTTAATGAAATGTTTGATCAAATATAGCAGGCTAATATTTAAATTTATAATTTTGTATGGCCCATGAATGATGTTATAAATATACAAATGGCACTTGGCAGAAAAAGGGTTCCCTACCCCTGATCTATACACTCTAAACTGGACAATGGGTTCTTTCCTGGACCAGGTTTGTGGCTAAGTTACTGGTAGACCATCACAGACAATGAAACATACTTGATAAAATGAATTTTGACCCTAGCCAATATGGCTCAGTGCATCGGCCTGTGGACTGAAGGTTCCTAGGTTCGATTCCGGTCAAGGGCATATGCCCAGGTTGTGGGCTTGATACCCAGTAGGAGCCGTGCAGAAGGCAGCCAATCAATGACCCCCAATAGGGGGCATGCAGGAGGCAGCCAATCAATGATTCTCATCACTGATATTTCTCTCTCTCTCTCTCTCCCTCTCCCTTCCTCTCTGAAATCAATAAAAATATAAAAATAAGTAAAATAAAATGAGTTTTGCTTTTGGAATATTAGCAGCTACTAAAATAAGGTTTATTTCTGAGCCTCACACTAGTGTATTTTCTTGAGTACTAACAGACAGAATAAAAAACAATATACCTCTTCCATGAAGATGACTTCTTTCCCTTCTAAGAACTCTATAGATTTAAAGACCTAGCAAGGTCAAGATATATTTGTAATCTTGTCATCATTTCCAATCTTGTTGCACATATTGGTCTGATACACCTGAAACCCTCCATCAGGAAAAAGACCCCTACTCTCCCCCTAGCTGGAATCAAAACATTCTGTCATTCAACTTGCAAATTAAATCCGTAAGTATTCAATTTAATAATTTTTCTGGGGCATAACCATACTTATTAACACTAGGAAAATTTCCAAATTGGTCATACTCTTATTGGTGCTGTTTTCTCAGCTGGCAATACCTATCACATTCCCACCCTTATTTACTTGATTAAAAAATTTTAGTCCTTTAAGAATGAGCTTGCCCTAGCTGGTTTGGCTCAGTGGATAGAGCGTCGGCCTGTGGACTGAAGGGTCCCGGCTTGATTCCGATCAAGGGCACATGCCTGGGTTGTGGGCTCGATCCCCAGTGAGGGGCATGGAGGAGGTGGCCGATCGGTGATTCTCTCTCATCACTGCTGTTTTTTTTTCTTTCTCTCTCTTTCTCTCTCTCTCCCTCCCTCCCTCCCTCCATACCTCTCCCTTCTTCTCTGAAACCAATAAAAATATATTTTAAAAAAGAATGAGCTTAAGAACACCTTCCTTCTCCATCTCAGAACACCTAATTCATAACACCTCAGGTCTTACCTCTGTGTTATTAATAGTTCATTTCCATTGATAATATTTATCAAATGATGAGAAAGAATCATTGATCGGCTGTCTTCTCCACGCCCCCTATGGCGGATCATACTTCCCCCAGAGACTATAAGTGATCATTTAAATGTTCCTTAGTAAGGGATAAATGTCTCATCTCCACATCCCCCAAGTTCAGTATAATGTCTGGCAGATGAGATTTGCTCAATAAGTGAAGAACAAAGAAAGAAGACATGGTCTTATACTTTTTTCATATTTAACTCTCAACCCCACACTAACTCACATTCAATTAATATTAAAATTCAAAATTATTTACCTAAAATGGCAAAGCTAGTCATGAAAATGTTTTAATAGAGCAAGACACAGCACATTTATAAGATTCTGGACGAAGTCACAAAAATGTAACAGGTGAAAAAAAAAATCACCTAGCTTGCCAACAAAACCAAGTGCTGATTACAACACTAAAACCTCTGCCACTTATAAAATGCTTTATGCTATCGAGATTAAAAACAAAGCTCTTTTTAATTTTAAACCATTTTTATCTGTCTTCCATGAAAATGAGTGCTCAAATGTTCCTGAAAGTTATATTCTATCTTTGGCTAGTACCCTGATTAATTGAAAACAAAGCTGAAATTAGCATTTTCTAAGCAGTACTGGAAAGAATAAAATCAAGTTAACAATCAAAAAATTAAGTATTTTGCTTAAAATATGATACATATTACAAAAAAACCCTATCCATAGTAACACACGCCTATACAATATACAAGTATAAGAAAATCTATCCACATTAATCCTAACAAAATTTTCTTAAACAGTTCTATTATATAGTAATGAAAAATTTGGGGGAGGGGGACAATCTATAAAAAATACTAAAGATATCTGAGAATGAGAATATCTTTCAAGAAAGGTGTTCAGTTTCCTTGCCTACCTTTCAGTTAGGAAACTATAACAGTGTTACATACACTGATGACTTAATATTCTATAGATGGAACTAGGCCCTGGCTTAGGGACAGACAAGATCAACTAGAACACCGTTAAACAACTAACTTAGCACCAATTACAGGTATCTACTTTAAAAAGCAGTTTCAGACTGGCCAGCATGGCTCTGCGTTTGCGCATCGACCTATGAATCAGAAGATTACGGTTCAACTCCTGCTCAAGGCACATGCCCAGGTTGCAGGCTTGATACCTGTGAAGAATACCCAGTGTGGGACATGGAGGAGGCAGCCAATCAATGATTATCTCTCCCTCTCTGAAATCAATAAAAGTATGTTTTAAAAAGTAAATAAATAAAATAAAATTCAGTTTCATTTCACTAACGTCAATGCCATGGTGATTTAGCACATCCCCTAACCTTCCCTTAGTCCACTTTGTTAACAGGGATTGAACGTTGTGTGATTATTGGGAGGAGGGGATAGAAATGAACAAAAAGGCATTTAAAGCGATGGCAACAACA